AGCGTTTATGAGAAAGACACTTGTTAAAAAGATCATTACAACTCAATCTAAAAGTAAGAAAAACAGAGGAAGGACGCTGAACTTGGCCAGTTGGAGGCAAATAGATGTGGTTTCTAGGAGGAGAAGCCAGAGCTGGTCTGGAAGGGAATTACCTAAGGGGCTTTCTGGGGAGAAACAGCCCCTGCTACAGAAGGAGGTGTAAAACCACACCTGTGCTCTGACCTGTTTGGGTCCAATTTCTTCACCTGAGAGTTGGTACCAGCGTAAAAGGTTTAGATGTTTTCTCCTGCCTGTCTGCGATAGGACTCAGCTCTTCCAGTCTTCTCCCAGACAGTCCAAGGCCAGGAATGGTCCCCTGCACTGTGGGCAGTCTCCAGGTGAGCAGAAAGGGTCAGGTTGCCCCACCTGAGACACGAACCCCGGCTCACCCTCTCCCGGCTGGAGGATTCTAAGTCTTCTTCGAGAGTGGCCCTGGGGGATGTCTTGCCAGAATTTGGGATGCTGATGATCGTGGCTCTCTGAGTGACTGAGTGTGACAGGCTTTGGAAAAGGCTCTGATTATTCGAGATGGTGTTTTTTTTCACATGGAGTCCCTTCCCCGCCAGTTGCAGATACACTCATCGACATTCTAGGAAATGAATGACCAGGCTGCCCAGGTTTCCTGTTAAACCGGATGAGTCAATCTTAAAAAATAGAGAAAAAAGAAAAGAAAAGAAAGAAAAACCGAAAAAGAAGAAATAAATGAATCCCATCAATATAACTTGTAACTATATGCAAACTTCAGGCATGCAAATCTCTAACCAAAAACAAGGGCCAAGAGAAAGATTGGTTGGACAAAGCACTATTTTTAGCAAAGATAATAGAAATGTGTGGGGGGGCGGGGGCGGGGGGGATCTTTAAAAACATATGTTGACTTAAAAATGAAAAGGCCTTTTAAAGTGAGAGGCAACAGGCGTAATTTGAGATCAGTAAGAACTGCTATTCCGGATGCACAGATTCAGGCAGAAGCCCAGAGAGTGTTCCGGTTAGGAGGGAAGGGGGGAGGGGGAACAATCGCATCAGCAGAAGGAGAGCGTTTCCATTGGTGCCGACAACATAACAGAGTGACTCGAATTCAAACCCATATTTTTAGTTTTCAGTCTGGTACTCATCAGACCTGCAGGCATAATATCTGCTTTCTTGTTATCTTTGCAAACAGCTCTTTGAACATAATGTGGCCCTTGGCCCAGTCTAGAGGTTATTTTGCCCTGTTTTAACATTCCGAGGTTGGAGGTATAAGACATGCAAGGCACTTCCTCTGGCATGGCAGCTCAGGCTCCATTTTAAAGTGGCTCTGTTTGTATTATTGTTTACACATATAATAATTCGATCATATTTCTTAGTTCCTCTAGAGCCAAGTATTTCGCTAGGGGCTTGGGAGAAAAAGATGAGAACGATCTGCCTCTGACCCAGGTGGATTCCCTGTAGTTAAGACCGATATCTAAATAAAAAGTCATCATACAATATAACAAAGGACCGTGTGTGTGTGTGTGTGTGTGTGTGTGTGTGTGTGTGTGTGTGTAGAGAGAGAGAGACAGAGAGAGTGATAGGAACATAGATGAAGGAGTAATTAACTCCCGGGGACTCAGAAGAGAGGATGTGACTTTTAAAGTACATAGGAGGGAGAGGGGAAGTCATATTAAAAAACAATCGAACCAGGTGAAATGGCCAACATTCAACCCTACTTGACATAAAAACAAACAAGTCAATTTCATATGGCGTAAGTTAACAGTGGAGGCAGGGCTAGCATGGAGGGTTCACCCCTTCCACCAACTGATCGAATAATAGCAGCTGCCCAGAGCTGTGTTGATAACGATTCTGAGAATCCCAGGCTAACAGGAAAGGATAATACTGAAATTGATTAATGGTCTGTCCTAACTGAGGAATGGGTGTAAATGGAACGCAGTTGCCATGCATAAATCATAAGGAGCTTTATAAGCAAAGGCACAGAAGTACAGGATGTCAGGTGGGTAGAGGTAGATGGTCTATGTGGGAGGGTTTTGCGGGGAAGGGGCAGATGGAAGACTCATTTTGGGAGACCATTAGAAAGCTGGGTTGATGGTGTGTCACAAAGAGCATCAGATGACCTTGTCAACACACCTAATATGGCTGCTTGTACCCTATTATCTCTTTGAGTGACTTACTTTTTAAATCAAACCCACATTACTCGCCCCACCCCGCAAAAAATGCACTGGAGGTGACAGTGTTCTCTGCCGCTTTGCAATTCAAAGCTTTCCTTTAAGAAAAGGTCACAGTGAGTAAGAGAGCATACAATAAGTACTTTGCAAATTAAATTGGAGGTTGTTTTTAGGTAAAATAAAAACCAAGTCTTGTGACTATATAGATTTTGTTTTACAAAGGTCAAAGTCATTACATAAAGAATTTATATTTTTTTACTATTAAGAGGGCATCCAAGGAAGTCATTTCAGTCCAGTTTCTCAGGAGCCACAGCCGAAGACAATTAGGAGAGCTTCATTATGCTCTGCCAGGATTGAGCTTTCTCGAGGGAATCTCTGTCGTGTCCCAGTGGGACTCTCCAGATTGCATCAAGGTTATTGAAAATTGACCCTATGATTTTAAGTGCACAGTAATAAAATGCCCTTCTAGATATATTTTTGCTACGAAATTTTATATATATATATTTGAAAGCTAGGCATCCCCAAAAAACTTCAGATCGCATTTTAAAAGTAGTTTTTGACTAAAGGTGCAGATAAGGGATCCTTTGAGGAACTTTCTCATGATGCACCTGAGTCTCACTCTAGAAGGTTCTGATTTGGTAGCTCTCTATCCTATAGAAACATTTGTTTCTCCCTAAGATGTCTAGCAATGAGCAGAAGCGTGTGGGTGCCCCCTGCAAATTCAGGCTGAGTTTTACAGATAAAGCAGGGTGGGGGGCTTAGGGCCTATCTTTCCTGGTGGGTACCCTGCCTCCTGTTGGTTGATTTTAGACCCCATGCCCCAGATCTAGTGTGTTCTTTTTGTTTGCTGTTAAGGCTCACACTAGGCCAGTTTCCTGCCAGAACTGGAAATCCCTACTGAGAAGAAATTAGACCACATGAAGTCTCATCTATATGTTGTGATACATTGTTTTAAATAAACTAGCAAGAAGAAAACAGTCTCATTTTAGCCAAGGTTGATCATGAATCAGGCCCATCCAGACTCTTAACATATTTATCACCAAGAGCAGGTCGGTGAATTTCACTGTTACATCCAGGCTTTTTTTGGAAGGAGGGGAAGGGCCAGCTCTCTCCTCCAGCTATAAGTGTGAGACAACAGGGTACACGTGAGCAGGACTAAGGGACATTCCTTCGGGTAGAACTGCCCAGGGCCTAGTTCTCCTCGTCAGACTCGGCAGACCTGGTGCTGAGAGGGCGAGATAAGTCAGGCATTTTAACAGAATCTTTGTGTTACCTGGAAATAATGTATAAAACCTAGAGGAGCACAGGGGACAGTGGAATTTGGGGACAGCTTCCCAGGCCTCCACATAGGACCCCCCTACGTTGGCTTGGTACCTGAAGGGCAGTGGAGTGGAGGAGGGGGGTGGTGGGGACTACCTCCGGAACTGAGTCTGGGCTTAATGGCATCACGTGGCTGTCCTTCTCTATTTGGTGAACCCCCGCTCACTCTAGAAATTTTAACTACACTTTTGTTGAACTTGGGCAAGATACAAAAGAATCATAAGCCCCGCTCTCCCTCAAGGGTGAGTCTCCAAGAATGTAGGTGAGTTCCCAGTTCCCCTGGGGGTGCAGGCTTTTTTTTTTTTTTTCTTTTTTCATGAGAGATTGCTTTCCAATCGTGGTGATGACAGGCGAATCTAGAAACAAACGGAGGCAGCTGACCTTGCCCGGCCCGGGAAGTGAGCAGAAACCCCACGAATGCATTTTCATCATCAGTCATGGGCCGAAAACTTCCCGAACGTCTCTCTGTCTCTCGCTCTTTTCAAAGCCTTTGAGTTTGAGCTCTGCAGCCGCAGCAGAGCAGGATTGATACCCGAAGACTCCTGACCCCGGCTCACCCTTGGAGCGGGTGGATGTGCAAAACATGGCATAGATTGAGGCGACGTGTCAGGATTCCACCATTCCTCCCCGCTGTAAAATTCCATTCCGCCCAAGGATAAGCCCGGTGCCCTTTGCTTTAAATCAGGCAGAGGACAGTGGTCACTGCAGTGCAGCCATAGTCAGTCCACACACTTAGCCATGCGAACGCTCCCGCCAGAAGGCGGGGGGCTCTGGAGAAGAAAGAGGACGTGCAGAAATCAAAGAGGATCACGCCCTGAGTGCAGAGTGGGTCCAGGGCCGGTCACAGGGACGGCAGAGGTTGCCTGTGTGTCTTCCTCGCCCAACTTCTGTTCTTCCTCGGAAGATCTGGTTTAGGAAGACTGAAGTCGGGGAGGGGAGGAAATCGTTTCTGTAAGCTTCTCGGTGCATGTGCTCATCATTTATTGAGTGATGATTACATGCCAGCCCCTGCGTTGGGCGCATCCCCAGTCACACGATTGACAACCCTTCCCGGAGGTAGGTATATGCACCCCGTTTTCCGGATGGGAATCCCAAGGCACAGAGAGGTACAGTGACTTACCACGATCACACAGCTAAGTAGTGTCTGAATCGCGCTTGTTAGCTCGTCCGCTTTGAAATTTCTAAAGCTCCCTTTTGAGCATGACATGCTGCCTACATTACTGATCTGAAAGTGGGGTCCCGGGGCAGCTGGACCCCCCTACTCCAACCCCACGTGAAAAGAATCGATGCGTGTTTGGTGGGCTGGGGAGGGGTGGAGGGGGCTGGGCTTCCACCAATGTCCTTTGGCTAAGGCAGGGGGCTTCTGGGGGTGTCCCCGCCACGCGCTCTGGGGTGTGGCTATGTTTTCGTGTCTCTGCCTTTCTCCTTTGCGCGGCCGCGATCTCTCAGGGGTAGTGTGCCTGTTCCCAAACCAGATGCCATCTATCTCTCTCTCTTTCGTAGGCACGGTGCTGTTGTGCCAGGCAAACCAGGAGGGATCTTCCATGTACACTGCCCCCAGTTCACTTGTATATACTTCCGCAAGTAAGCCCATGTTGTGGCTCTCTTTCTGTTTTGTGACATAAATCTGAGTCCAATCACCTTCCCTGCCATGTAAGTTCTCTCTCCCTCCCTCTGCACCACCCTCCCTTGTGGCTCTCTCTACGAGGTCAAGTTGATTTTCATAAGCATGTCTCTGTTTTCCCCTGTTGCCTTAGCATCCGATCCCTCCGCTCATTACGTCTGAATCCTCACTTCCTGGACATCCCAGCCGTTTTTGGTTAAGACCTGTCAGGACTGGGTCCAATGGATGGGACGTGGGATGACGAGATGGGGGGCGGGGGAGAGCGGGAGGGGGGAAGCTGTAGCTCATTGCCTGCCTTCTATCCCAGGTTTGCAAATTTACATGAGAAAAATTGAAGTAAGATGGCCAGGCCGTCCAACTGGCACCCTAGCCTTGCAAAAAGGTGCTTGATGGGTTCCCGTGAGCGCAGTTTTCATACTGGCCTGTGGCTAGTGACTTGTTTGCAAGGCTGTTCTAGCCATCAGGTGCTATGAGGAGGAAACCAAAAATAGATATGGAAGCTAAATCACAGTGTCGAGGTGGAAAAACCAAGGATTGCTCTGCCTGGGATGGGTTCTGGAGAATGCCCCACGCCCACTCCGCCCCCCAGAGCAGGGACGAAAGTGCTTGCTGATTATATCGCGCTTCCCCGGCTGGTTCACCCCTCCTTAGAGTCTCCTGACACAGCCCAGACCTCGTCCCTTATTTCATACAGTGTGTGTACACCCTGTGACATTGCCATAACTACCCAAATGGTTCCTCTTTGGGGATCAGGGCTCAAAAGTGAGTCTGTGGACCAGGGGAGAGGAGGGTTGCTCGTGAGACTGGCTGGAGCAAGGGGGTGGTGGACAGCGGAGGCCACAGGCTCATGATAATTAAGAGGAGAAGCGTCACCGTGTACCAAGACCAAACATCTTGATTCTCAAAGGCTGAGACAAACCAAACTCTTCGCTGTGGGGCAAAAGTTAGAAGCAGTGACAGGGACCCCAAAAGATAATAACTATGGGAAACATGAGGGTCCCTGAAGGCTTCGGGTCATGGAGGCAGACTGGTTGCTTCTCCTAACCACGCTACAATCCCAAAAACAGTTTGGACGTTCATGAAATGCAAGGTCCCCAAGAAGCCAAAATCTAGCCCTACTGGCCAGAAGGTGTTCTTTCTGAATTTCTGAAAACTGTTCCATTTTGGTCAGTGTAAATGCACGCACCTATATCGTCTAGAATTAGAATGCCATGGCGCATTTTCACACGCTCAACCTGTTTAATCCTCTCAAAATCTGTACCAGGTAGGTATTACAATGTTTGCTTTACAGCCAAGGAAATGCAGGGCACTGAGCGGTGGGGTGATTCACCCAGGATCACACAGCCAGTAGACGGGTAGATTGGTCTTTCAAATTTCGAACTTGAGGAAATTATTCAACCCTCCACTTCTTCTCTGGCTCCATTTGACTCCACATCTCATTGTCATCCCGTTGTGCTGGTCCCTCCCGCTCCTCTATAATATTTTGTGAAAAAGATTTGGGTTGAGTTCCAGAGTATTATTTTTGTTTTTATCTAATATTATTGTCCTGTGGAAGCATCTCGGATGAAATGTCCTGTGTCTGTGCAATCCAGTAGGCGTGCTCCTGGGACCAAGGCGCTGACTTTTTAATTGTATTTAATTTTAATTACTGTTATTCTAATTAGCCTCATGAGGCTAATGGCCACCATATTGGACAGCGAGGCTTTCTATAATCCTAGGCTGTATTTATATGTCAGTTTCCTTTTCAGAAGGGAACAAACTAAATTAAGTCCAAAAAAGGACTAGTTTTAATTGGTACAGCTCTTCTAAAGCAACTCGAAGATAGTGTGTGTCATAAATGGCAAGCATGGAAATATGTCACAAGTTCTCCATAGTATAATAGGTGAAGCATATAGAGAAAATGAAATCATCTAAGACTGCTATCAGCAAACTACAGCCCAAGGGCCAAATCCAGCCCACTGCCTGTTTTTGTAAGGCTTAGGCGCTAAGAATGCACTTAGATTTTTTGAAGCATTATAAAGACAAAAACAAAAAACAAAAATAACATGTGAAACGGACCTAGGTGGCCTGCAAAAGCCTAGGAATCTTGATGATCTGACTCTTTCTGTAAAAAGCATGCTGATCTCTGATTTAAAGGATCCATTTTATTATTGAAAATACAAAATGAGAACATCACTTCGCTGTTTATAATGATACTTTTTTCTAAATTTAAGAGTAAAAATGTATAATAATTATAGAAACCATATAATGTGTCCAACGCCCTTCATTTTTAAATTGCATAATCATATTATCTACACATTTTTCACCCTATTATTTTCACTTACTATCATGTCATGTACGCTTTAGGAAAATGTGTTAATGACCTCATAATAGTCTACTGTTTAATGATATTATATTTTAATCTATCCCTCCATTGTGGGGTACTCGGGTTGATAGCAATTTTTAAAAAATTATAAAGAAAATAAGTGTCCCCATAGATAGGAATTTTAAAGAAAACAACAATTAATAGCTAATCCTCCTGTCACATAGCAAAATAAAACAAAAACTAGTTTCTTACAATAAGAGTCTTCATGGTGGACTCTTTAAGCAATGGTATTCAGACTGACAAGCTCAGTTAGTATTTTAGAATGGCAACCAACCTGAGACCACCCCCACCCCGCTCCATTTGAATAGCTGAGGTCCCTTAGATTATTTCCATCTGAGGCCATGCATTGGTGCTGAGTGTAAAAATGATCCACTTCTCCTAAGACAAATGGCTGAGGCTTTCTTTCTCCTACGCTTCTCCAAGTCAGCAATGCCTTCGGGGGCCCGATTGTGCGCAGTCAGCTGGCTTCTGGCCACATTCACATGGGTTTTCTCGTCCAGATTAAGGTGTATATTTTGATGCAAAATCACATCCAATTTGGACCAATTGGGCCAGCACGTAAAGGGTCATTTTTACACATGCACGTGTGTGCGCACACATACACGTGGGATGTACACACAGTCACCTGAGATACTTTTTCTCCATCAGGTCTGACATATACATGGCTAAGAGCCACAGGTCTTGCCTTTGATTGATATAAGAACGGTGTGACCACTTTTTCTCCAAGAATCCAGCCTTCTTCCCCAAAGCTGAGGTGCCCTTCCTTCTCAGCAATTGTTTAGGATTCACCTGGTTTTTAACTTGAAAGTGTATGTTTCTCACTTTGGGGGAACAGTTGTGCCCTTGAGGAAAGGTGTGTATAAGTTACACTTTTGTAAATTAGATTCTATGTATTTACGGACTTCCATGATTGCTCCTGAGTTTTTTTTTTTTTTTTAACACATCTTTAACTGGCCTTGAATGTTTTAGACTTAAATTGTCCCTCTCCCTAGCCAAATAGCTAATCATCTGTAAATAACGCCCTTAAATGCAGTAGGGAAGATGGTTTTTAAAGGAACCCTGCTGAATTAGTCAGTAATGAAAATAACTCCTACTGAAGTTATCTGTTTTTTTAAGATGCATTTTGGCATAATGGGTTTTCTCCCTTTAAGCGAAACATCCTAATGATATGACCCAGGACACGAACTCATTAAGAGAAAGATTTTCACTCAGGGCTCTCGGTCAATACAACCTAACCCCATAGCTTCTCCCATCTCGCCCCGCTGACTCCAGTTCCTCCTTCTACCCTACACTTTATCCTGCCGTGAAGGCCTAGGTCAAGTGTGTCATGAGACATCACGTATTCTCTTACATGTCCTAATAAACCACTCTCGTCCAGATTGTCAAATGGAGCCACTTTCTATCAAACTTAAAAGAAGTCAGAGCAAAACTCCAGAGAATTCTGCAAGATCGCCTTGTCCCAAAGGCAAAACCATATTAATGTTACTGTTGCTGTCTTAAAACGTTAATTTTAATCAACTAAATTGAACTCATAAAATCGTTTTATTTTTGAATAATTTTTTATTAATAAATTAACCACAGGTTTGCTTTGAGTAGAAAATACGACCCCTGAACAGCGAGGTTTGGAGAAAGTGCAGGCAGGGCTGGTGGGTCTGCTCGCTGCCCACCAACCTGAGGGCCAGTCGTTTGTAGGGTTGCCCTGTCCTGGGCAAAAGGCACCGCTGCGTTATTGTTAGTGCCTTTCGCATACCGTGAATGCATAATAATCAAAAATGGCTCCAGGGAGAAATAAGAAGGCCAAGAACATATCCCCTCTCTTCCAAGTTAAGACATTACTTCCATTTTGATTCCTTGAAATATCAAGAGGTAAATCATTGGTTCCAGGAATGGGAAAGTCCACTTCTAAGTTGGATTAGCAAAGCCAGCTATCGCTCATCCCTATTTCCATATGGAGTAGATTTTCCAAAAGCAGGTGTACGTGACCAGCTTTATTTTGTTCTCTTTATAACTTCGTGAATTGATTTTAGATTACCCAGGTGACACGTGCTCACTATAATCATGCAAATAAACACAAAAACACACACATATGGAATAACATGGGAATAATATCCCCACTTTATCCAGGAACACGAATCCTTAAAGAATCCCCTATTGACTCTCTGGTAAGTATCTGTCCACATTTATTTCATAATAAGGCAAAGAAGGACACGCACACGTGCAATGGGAGGGGCTGTTAGCTCAATTTTATACACAGGGGAGTATACACGCACATAGTATGTTCACATGACACATCTTAATCATATTTTGTTTCACTTCACAACACATCGTGACCTTATCCCATTCAGCCTCTTACTGTTCCACATGTGTGGATGGGTGTGGATGGTCCACGGTTCATTCAACCATTCTCTTTCCACAGTAGTTTAACCGATTGCATTTTCATATCCCTTCCATAAAGGCTGCGGCCAATACCATTTTTACACATACCCCTCAAATGCCACACCCAGTTTCCCAAACATGGGGTCGTTGGTTCTGTCCGAGCATTCTCGCCAACGCCCGTGTATTTTGCTCTTTAATTTGGCAAATTGGATGGATGGC